TCTTTAATAAATTTGCAAAGATGCTAAAAATGTTATCTGCTTTGTCATTATGGTGTATGGAGTGTAGATTGATGTGGAAAAAAGTAATTTAAAGCAGTTTAACATAAGGTTGCAACATAACAAAACATGAAAAAAATGAATACTTTTGCAAGGCACTGTGTATGTGTGTCCCATTGGAAAAATAGAGAATCTCAAGACTTATGACAAAGCAGGCCTTTTAATTAGGCTGATTTAAAGGAAGTGCCACATTTCATGATAGTTTCCATGATAGTTTAAAGTATTGCACATTATAATTTGATAAAGATCTCCAGCCTCCACTGCAATGACTGATAAGATTATCTCAAATAACAATTTGCATACCTTCGCTTTAATTTTCTTCATGTTATTGTTCTTATCTGGTGGGTTGATTTGCTCATTAACCAATGCCATCAATTTTGCAAAATATGTTTATATAATCAGTGTGGGTACAGAGAGATGCATGTGTAAAGTGATGTTTGTTCAGAGAGATGAGGAGTTGATAAAAGAGGTGAATCTTCAATGTTTTTTCAGAGTTTCGCTTGTGGCCAGAGTGACAGTCCTCTTCATTTCACCTTTTCTTTCATGTTAAACTGGCTGTTTTCCATAACATGATATTTTGTGATTATGGGAACAAGTGTGGGCAGTTGCATAAAAACTGGCACACAAAAAAAGAAACAACAACACACATTTAGAAATAAATAATATTTCCACTATTCTGTTCTAGATAAAAGTTTAGGAGAAGCTTATTAATGTTCAAAAACACCAAAGCATATAAGTATAGTTGCTTACCTCACTCCCATTATAAATTAAGAATTTAAGAATTAGATAGACATGTGAACTTGTGAATATTACTCTGAAATTTTTTTTATGGGATTTACTTAGCTACAATTTTCACTAAGAAATTGCTCATAAATTTCACATTCAGAAAAAAATATCAAGTTACATTGAATTAAATGTGAAATTATGAAGTACAGACTTAATTAGTATTTTTTTGTAAAACATATCCCAGTAATCCTTTGTTTTAATTACAATCGAAAAATGTTTTTTTATTTACTTTGAAAACTATTTGTTTCAGTGTAGCTGAAAATTAGTTACAGTACATTTTCATGTCCCCATCATAAATGTCTTTATGTATCTGATAATATTAAACTCACAATTTATGAATATTGAAATCATACTAATTTTATCACAATATCACTTATAAGGGAACGTGTATTGTAATTTTTGTCATGTTCACAGGTGCTTTCTACTGTTTATTTCTCTTATCAAAATGATTAAAACAAAATTAGTTTTCTTGGAAATATCATTATCAATCAACTTTCTGAACTTGACCAGTTCGTATTTCTGCTGCTATCAGGAAAGGTTTCAATGAATCAGTCAACAGCACAGATGCATTTGATTTCTAAAAAAAAAGGGTGAAAGAAAGGAAGCAAAAAAGCAAAAGAAGACCAATCACAGATGTCTGAGGTTTAAAGGGGAGGGGCTGGTTTGACTTTAGAGGTGGCCTTGCTAGATCTCACCCACATGTAGGCTTCCACTGGTCGAAGACACCTCTGGTTGAGGTCGCGATGCATGTTAATGCGTCTCTGTTGACTTGCTCGCGGCAGGACGCAGCCTCTACCTTGATCGCATAGGTACGTCTTTGAAAGTTTGTCAGTCAGGCTCTTCTTCTTTTCCACCTTCTAGTGTCATCTTGCCATTTCTCATCTTGTCTGCTGTCTCTCTACCTCTTCCTCTCCCCCATCACCAAGTGCCATGCTTTCTATATCTGGAAAAACATCTTTTGATTACAAAAGCATCCGTGCAAGTGTCTGATTGTGTGTGTTGAGGTCTTTTCTGACTGCAGGCCCGGAGAGGATGTGTCACTGCAGACAGGTTTTCCCCTGTTACTCATGGGCCTCTTTCTCGCACTGTGTCTCTTTATGTGGGCCTGACCATTGCACTTTTGCAGATTTCTAATGTTATCACCTGCATTTGAGTGCCTGTTACATAGTCTATAGGTTCCTTCTTCACTAGTGGGTGAGATTTTTGTTGATAACGCTTCCAGATGGTTGTGACCAGGGGTAATACCTTTTGTTGGATAGGCCTAGTTTTTTGGACATCTGATGTATTATAGTTTCGTACAATGAAGGAAAGTGTTCGGTTTGGTAATGGGACAGAGGGTAACCTGCGTTTCAGATTCAGACATTCACAGTCCTGCATGGCACATAAGTCAATTGCTCATTGCACTATTGCAGAATTTGCAGTCATTTGAGTCAAAATTACATCACAGTTACAGCACATCTTCCTCAGTTTCATTCTTCTTATTCTCACGCTCAAATGAGAATTCAACTGCACCAGGGCTTTAAAAGAAATGGGTGAAGAAAGATTAGGAACTGGTGAGGTATCGTTCACTGCGACGTGCTTTGTTTGGCATATTGTAAAACTTTTTTAAAAATGGCAACACTTTCAGTAATTTCTTGGTGTTTCAATTTGCATTTCATTTAGCGTTGCTAATTTTATTGTTGTCATAAACAGAATATAAACAACAAAGCACTGTTTTTTTGTTTTGTTTTTTAGTTGCTGGAGTGACTGTGATTACGATAGCTCTAGAAAATACAGCAAATGCAGTAGGCTAATGCATGAAACGGTTAATGAATATTTTATTGTTTATTTAGGCTATTTTAGATTAAGAATTTAGAATATGCTTAGCATAAGCTATACAATATGCTTAACATACAGTACATAACTAGATCATTTTTGACAACATTTTTCAGCTTTGATTCTAAATTTCCGGTGACTTCTGCAAAGCAAAAACAAGAACAAGAGACGCATTTAGGTTGGTAACTAATAAATGGCATACTGTATTCTAAGCTTCATCTTTGGTGTAGGCTAGATTAAGTACAGTAATATGACTCACTTATATTTATGACACATTAGACTTTTAATATTAGAGTATAATACATGACTCATCTGGCTTTTTTTCAGAAAAAAGGTACACACACAAAAGCTAATGCTACAAACAAAGGTGCAAAGGAGAAGAAGTCTATTTTGTTGGCAGCTGAGTATAATTGAAAAAAAAAATTGTCATATACTTACACCCTCATGTCGTTTCAAACTAAATGTCTTGTACATTGTACATCCGCACAATGAAAGCCAATGTAGTTCAATGTGTTTGGACACCAGTGTCCTTCAACGATCTTCGTTTGTGAAGAAGACATACAGATGCGGAACGCCATGAGCGTGAGTAAATGACGACAGCATTTTAATTTTTGGGTAAACTATTCTATTACGTTTCTTAGTTCTAGATCACATAAGTTGTGTTTGCCAGAAATAAAGTTAACTCTCAACAGTTAATTTGGGCAAGCAAAGTATCTGCACACACCTGTTTGGTATAATGCCTCACAATATTAACGTTCAGTTGTTGTTTTTTTTTGTTCATGCTTTGCTGCTTGTGTGTGTGTGTGTGTGTGTGTGTATGATGCATGTGTGTGTCTCACTTTTAACCAGTTTAGCATCAATTCTAGTAATTAGAACATCAAGCACCGTCATCTCAGTACAATGTGTTCCACACAATCCGTCACCGTTGCGTCCTCGCTGAGGGGGAGTGATTGTATCAGCATAAGTTTTTGCAGGCATTCGATACTCTACGACTTTCTTGTTTGCGCATTCGTCAGATCGATGACAAAACATACAGCGCCGACTGAGATACTTGCGTCTTGAATCTTGTACATCTCGTTACTGTCCCAAGACGGCAATTTCATATTCCAGGACGGTCATGTTTCTTATTTGGAGTGTCATTCTTTGTACGCATTTCCAGATCGAGTATCAAAACCATTTTTTCCCCACACAGTCCGCATCACTTTCTGCGCAATTGTGAGGAATTAGAACGCAGCTGACATGTACTGTAATCAAACGCTTCACCAGACACCACATCACACTGCTACTACAGTAGATGCATATCTAAACCGACCTACTGTATGGCTTTGATACTGTTGTTGTTGATCAAACAAACTTGAACTCTTACGAGTCTCAGCGTACCGGCATTAGTCAGAGTTTCACATTCTGAAGAGGTCTGTGGCTTCATCACAAAAGCTCCACAACAAAATTTCAAAGGTGATGCAAAATGCGAAAGGCCCTTTGCCGCCTGACATGACCAGACATGTCCGCCTCCACGTTGTGCCATACGCAGACAATGCAATTCCAGTTCATGGTTGAATGTATTGTGAGTTAGAAATGATTAAACATTGCTTAGAGTTTCATTTTGTGAATTAGATTGTCTGCCTGATGTATGAAAGTAGGTTAGAGGTGTTGTGACACTGATGAGTTCATGAAAAAACCCTGCTGAATTCTTCTGAATATGTCTTTCACAATCTCTGAAATGAAGTCAAATGGCTTATATTGCTAAGTGTATTTACCTCTTCGGGCTTATCTATGTTTCAGTCTTTCTCTTGGTCTATCAACGAGATCTCTTTTTTTCGTTTTAAAACAGCTGAACAATGAAAGGTTTGATCAGTCCGGATGAATGTAAAAAGTCTGGTTAAGATTGATCATCTTATTCATGATTGTTAGATGTCTAGACATTGATATCTCAACATATGTGTCATCAAATGAGCAGACAAGAATAGTTCATTTAAGTTCGGGAAAATGATAGGCCTATAAAACTTTTTCTGTTTTATTTTTTGACTATTAATGATCTATTTTACCTAAGCCAGGTGCATACATAAATCGAATAATTAATAAACAAGTCAATCAACCTGACAAGTCAATAAATAAGAAAATAAAAATATAAACAATTAAAATATAATCAGAGAGATGTGTATTATTGTCTACATTAAAAAAATATATTATCATTTGTTCTTATCGATTGTACTTAATTGTCAATAAATATAACTAATGTATTGATTCATTTTTTCAGTGTTTTTAAATAATATATCATATTATAGAAAAATTTGTAATTTATGTAATCCAATTATTTTTATATATTTTATAATTTCCTGGGACATTCATTTAAGATTCTTGGATTTAAAAATAGTAGTAGTTTTTCTCTCTCTTCATCTTCTCTTTCATGTCGACTATTATTCCTCATTGTCCCATGACAAACTTACCTTCTGTTTTTCCCCCATCTAAAGGCTGACATGAGATTTCTCATCTCGACATCAAACCTGATCATCTCACTTCAGCCGCACCTTTCACTCTTTGAAGATGATCCGCATTCATAACCCTCACCATGTGCCATTTCTGCATCAGACGGAGCAGCTCCGCCAGGCCGGAACCCTTTGTGACACGCTTCTCACCGTGGAGGGCCTTTCATTTAAAGCCCACGCACTGATACTAGCGCTGGCGAGCAAACGTCTCAAGCGTCAGCTAACAAAACAGCACGGTCCAGGGTACTGCTGCGTTATAGAAAGAGTCTCTTCCCACACCTTCAAGCAAATCCTAGACTATATGTACAGCGAATTGCTGGAGGTGCCCAAAGATGATCTTGAGGAGCTGCTGAGGGGCGCTGAGTACCTGGAAGTGGAGTCTTTGGTAGAACAATGTCAAGCACAACTTAGAGATCCAGAATCCCCAACTAAGACAGACGCAAAAGTGATACATTCCCTCCAAGATGACAAAGCACACAAGGACACTCGGTTGTCTAAAACTAGCCACAATTTGGATGAAGACCACCTTGATTGTTCTTTAGAAGAAGAACGTTCTTCCACCAAGAGGTCGGTCCATGATGCACATAAGAAGAGCTGTTCTCCCGTGTCTCCTCTGCCTCCCATGTTCTCCAGTGACACCATCATCTCCTCCAGCTCTCCGTCTCCAAGCTCTCGTTTCTGCTGGCCACCGGTCAGCTCGTCTAGGAGCATGGTGTTAAACTGTAGAGAAATTATGACCTTCCACTCCCTTCGAGCGTATCCCTACCCCACACCCATATACCCCATCGTCCACCACTCGCTCCAGCCACAGGTCTCCTCCTCACTTATAGGTTACACGGGGTTGCTTCACCACTATCACCCTCTCATACACTCTCCTCCACTGACTCAAGACAGTCCCTTCATTCCTGGTCTGAAAGGAAAGAACGCCTCTATCAGTGCAGCTTTAACGGGGTCCATGTCAGATGATCAAGAGAGGTAAGAAACGACACACAGATGACACTTACAGTGTATGAATGTTATTGGATTAGATAATTTATCAAACCATGTGGAATTGATTTTAATTGAGACAGACAGCACAAGCACAATTTAAAAGGATTTTTTTCACAAAATTTTAGGGGGTTTGAACATTTTATAATTCATACACGTTAAGGGGATATGGTTCGCCCAAAATAATTATTTCGGTGAAACATCTTAGAGGATGTTTTGACAAATGTCTCTTATGGTTTTTTATGTCAATACAAACGGAAATCATTCGTGAACAAAACTGTTTGGTGAACATTTTTCAAAATATCTTCTGCAGAAGAAAGTAATTAATTCAGGGTTGCAACAACATGAAGGTGACAAAAAAGGAAATTAATTCCCTTTAAGTGTTCAAATAATTTTAGGGCCCTCTGTATACCTAAACATTAAACATTGAATATTCAATCAAATATTACATATTTTTTAAACATAGAGCTTCAGAAGCCACTTGTCCATCTTTTTCAGGGAGAAGTCCAAGGTTATACGACATCTGGGTGTTGTCAGCATGGTGAAAGAAATCTCTTTTTTTTTTTTTTTTTGATATTTTTGACAGGAAGCCATATTATAGTTAGCTAATTTCAGCGGAACACCATTAGCCTGGTAAACTTTTTTAACGAATGCAGCAACACATTTACAGTCATAACCAAGAGCAAACACCGCAAAATCTGATCTTGCTTACCTTTGAAGTTTTTTCTTTTTTTGCATCAGTTAATATCACCGCTCACTAAATATTTAATAATTTTAATATTTAAAAGTGCAAACAAAGGAATGGTTTGCTACTATATGCAAAGTAGTGAGTCATTTTGTAAGTGTTTTATATATTAGATATTTTTTTTGAAAGTATTCTCAAACTTTTGGCTTTGTCTGTACAGACCAAGATAGTAAGGCTTGACTTGTTTAAATTATTAGATTTTGGAACTGAGGCCATGCAGTCTTAGAAAAACTTACAGTTGCTTGAAATTGACTTATCCAGATTCTAAGTTTAAAATGAAAAATCATGTTCTCTACAATATTTTACTTCAATAAAATATTCTTTGTGTAATATACTGTAGTGCCAAGCAAGGTTTTTTTTCTTTTCATTTGTTAAATAGTAGTAAATCCTGAAAAGCTTTTTAAACAGCAGTGAGTTCACACTGCTTTACCTTCACTATCCACTTCAACCCATCCATAATAAAAATCCAAAATAGTTGTCCAAACAGTTTAGTACAAAAGTTCATATGCAAAAATATGACACTTACAGTGTATGAATGTTATTGGATTAGATAATTTATCAAACCATGTGGAATTGATTTTAATTGAGACAGACAGCACAAGCACAATTTAAAAGGATTTTTTTCACAAAATTTTAGGGGGTTTGAACATTTTATAATTCATACACCTTAAGGGGATATAGTTCGCCCAAAATAATTATTTCGGTGAAACATCTTAGAGGATGTTTTGACAAATGTCTCTTATGGTTTTTTATGTCAATACAAACGGAAATCATTCGTGAACAAAACTGTTTGGTGAACATTTTTCAAAATATCTTCTGCAGAAGAAAGAAAGTAATTCAGGGTTGCAACAACATGAAGGTGACAAAAAAGGAAATTAATTCCCTTTAAGTGTTCAAATAATTTTAGGGCCCTCTGTATACCTAAACATTAAATATTCAATCAAATATTACATATTTTTTAAACATAGAGCTTCAGAAGCCACTTGTCCATCTTTTTCAGGGAGAAGTCCAAGGTTATACGACATCTGGGTGTTGTCAGCATGGTGAAAGAAATCTCTTCTTTTTTTTTCTCGATATTTTTGACAGGAAGCCATATTATAGTTAGCTAATTTCAGCGGAACACCATTAGCCTGGTAAACTTTTTTAACGAATGCAGCAACACATTTACAGTCATAACCAAGAGCAAACACCGCAAAATCTGATCTTGCTTACCTTTGAAGTTTTTTCTTTTTTTGCATCAGTTAATATCACCTCTTACTAAATATTTAATAATTTTAATATTTAAAAGTGCAAACAAAGGAATGGTTTGCTACTATATGCAAAGTAGTGAGTCATTTTGTAAGTGTTTTATATATTAGATATTTTTTTTGAAAGTATTCTCAAACTTTTGGCTTTGGCTGTACAGACCAAGATAGTAAGGCTTGACTTGTTTAAATTATTAGATTTTGGAACTGAGGCCACGCAGTCTTAGAAAAACTTACAGTTGCTTGAAATTGACTTATCCAGATTCTAAGTTTAAAATGAAAAATCATGTTCTCTACAATATTTTACTTCAATAAAATATTCTTTGTGTAATATACTGTAGTGCCAAGCAAGGTTTTTTTTTCTATTCATTCGTTAAATAGTAGTAAATCCTGAAAAGCTTTTTAAACAGCAGTGAGTTCACACTTGTTGACTGCTTTACCTTCACTATCCACTTCAACCCATCCATAATAAAAATCCAAAATAGTTGTCCAAACAGTTTAGTACAAAAGTTCATATGCAAAAAATTTTATTTATCTACAAAACTATTTTATAACGTCATTTTTAAGTTGAGAAACAAATTCAGTCATGCGTGTCAAACTTTTGACGGGTAGCGTATATGCTTGCATTTGTGTGTGTGTGTGTGTGTGTCTATGAATGTGACTTAGGTGATACTCTTCTCTTTCTGTACTTTCCAACGGACACATTTTCCCCAACCAGCCCCCTTTTCCACCTACAAGAATTATCTTTCTACAGGCTCCATTAAAATGAGGGGAACTAATAACTGTCTGTGGTTCCACTGCAGTGGAATAACAGTAATTATGCAAGAAAGACAATTATGTTATCATTGTAATGAAACATGTTGGGGTATGAATAATACATATTTTAATATAATTAAAATTGAATTGTATGACCTATAGATGTGCTTATGCTCATAAATATCTGGAAGTCACTCATTTAAATAATTCAAGTCTTTATTTTTATCAGTGTTAATTTTAAGTGTTTGAGCCAGTATAAAAGCACAGAAGCACCATGTGCACTAAATACTGGATATGTTGGTGGAGTGTTTTGGAACACAACACTTACTATCAAGGCCGAAACTGAGGGGAGCCCCCCATTTGTCCCCGACTTTACAAACAGTAAACATGAAAGTCAGTCATCTCCACCCTCAGAGCAGGATGTTCTATTTCAGTCTCATTTTTAGCCAAAGTCTGTTCCACTCCCTAATTTGCCACACACACAAACAGGTGCCCCATTGAGACAGAGATCTTTTGCTCAATCAATGCTGAAACGAAACATCTGAGAGCAGACGCTGTTTTTCTTTACCTATACACGCACAGGGAAACGGTACAAGCCGCCCACACACCATTTTAGACTCAATTATATCACATTTCATGGTTAAACATCCCAAATAATGTGAAATTTATGAGAGCCTGTTAGACTAATGTAATACATTTGGTAGAGCATATTATTAATATTATTTTGATTCTATATACTTGAGTCGCATGGGCTTTCCTTCACACTGTAGACGTGCTGCAGGCTGCTTGACTCCGGCAAAGGAAACCATTGTCTGCTTGCATTGTTTCCTGCTACCTGAGCACAAAACCTTTGTTCCTACAGTTTTTGGTCATAGACAGAAGGAGGGGATGTAAGTCTAAATTGGTTCTTAATCATTTGATACAACAGATTTGATAAGTTTGAATGGCAGTTTGTTGGGCTACGGAGTGAGTGCTGTATATCAATGTTTGTTCGTATATTTTCTCTACATATACTTCACACCTACTAATTTCTCAGTATTTTTAAACGCTGAACCATCAGGTGCATCCTGGGATGCATTTAAGAAGTTCCTATAAACATTTATAGATTGCTTTTCCTTCACAATACGGTCCATGAAAAGTGTGTGCGGAAAGTCATACCTAAGCATATATGTGCATTCATCTAATCTACTAATTTAAATTATTTAGGCTGAAGCATTTACATTAAACGGTTTGCAAGATTGTATATTCGAAAATTCGGAGAAGTGTGTTTTAAAACTGAAATAGTAGTGCCCTTTCTCCTAAATAATGACACAGATGTGATAACACACCTAGTCTAACAGAGGTTATCAGCAGTAACACCTGAGAGCGTGTGGGTTTCTCACTGACCTTTACCTGCTGGTCCGAATTAGCTGTGGTCTAGCCAACACACTAGAATGTGTTGAAATGCAGCTCCAGAAGTGCAACTGAACCTGCAGGTGTTAGCTGACCTGATCAACAAGTGGTTTAAAAAAAAAAAAACACCAGCGGAAAACGCAGTTTTGAAGATATATGTTGATGATGAATAAAGTCCTAAATGCGATCGTCTACGCTAGTTACGCATGGAAAATATGGACATCTTTGAATGGGCGCTAACATGACGACATTTTCCACAGGAAGCCAAAGGTTCAAGAGGAGAGGGAGATATGCTGCAGACACTGTGGTAAACCGGCCCTGGAAAACCCCTGGAGGCCAACGACTGGGTCATCAACCTCAGGTAATATGTTGTACAAATACACAAAAATTAATCTAGACACTCTTATCTGCCCAGAATTTTAAAAAAGGCATATATATAATCATACAGACGCTTGCAGAAACACAAAATGCACGGCAGAGTTGCAGATTTGGTCTGGGATGCACCTACTTTTTACGTAGATCAGAGGAATGGATGCATGCAACAGGATGTAAATGTTGTGTATCTCTCAAAGAGCTGAAAGATGGTGGCTGTTGCCTCTCTTCCGCTGCCAGCGGATAGTAGACAGTGGAAAAAATTCAAAATTCATTCATGCATCAATGAAAGTTCAGTTTATCAGTTTGATTTCTTTGAAATCTTTCCAAAACAATACAAAGCCAAAATTTCCCATTAAAATCTTTTTTTTTTTCATTTAATTTTACTTTCATTTTTACACAGTGCATTTATGCATTTAGCAGACACTTTATCTAAAGTGACTTACAATAGAGGAGCGTAGGTAATCTGTTACAAATCCACTCCAGGTTTATGGAAGACTAGGTAACAAGCCTGGACCAGAATTAAAATGCAAAGGAAAAAGAAATATTATTTTCTATTTATTATTTCATTTAATTTTAAATCACTTACTTTATTTTTAATTTTATATTATTTATTATTATGATCCTTTTTATCATTCCTATAGCTCAAACAGTCGACCAAGGTCGTGATTTTGAATCCCAGGGAATGCATGACTTTTAAATATATACTTTCAATGCAATTTAAAGTTGCTTTGGATATTTCATAATTAATGCTTGCACCCAGCATTATAAATGGCTTAAATGTGAATGGCATTGCCACTTTGATAATGTATTTAATTCTGATGCATTTATTTACAAGAAGGCACCACAGGTGCACTCTTGAAATTGATGTAATATTCAGAATTGAATGTACACCTCAAAGTGTTCAGATGCTTTCTGATTGTCAAACATTAATGCAGTGAACTATACCTATAAATATTGTTCTAGGGCATCTGTGTGAACCTGAAGGAAATTACTTCATACTTCAGATAAACAAAAAAAACTCATGTTGACACCATTTAACGAAAGTGAAGTTAGTTCTGAGTTCTGAGAAACGAGATGTTGCTTGGCATCTAATGCAAAAACATTTGTGCATTGTAAGTTCATCTAGTGTCCAAATACTTTTTAGGGGTTACTGCGTAGTCTCAATGGTGGTTGTGCTTTGTCCTAGTTTACATAATGTTCTCAGGACACAAAGACATATGCGAATGACCCCTTACCTGCTAAACTGGGGTGTAAAGCTGTGCGCGAGAGAAAACTGTGGCTTCTGAATCGTGGTGCATCAGCACAGTCCTGCGGTCGATCAGCTCTGTGCTTCATGGTGGTTTGTATACAGTACCAAAAGAGAAGTGTTGACTTGTTCTTTTTTCATCCAAATTGGGGTTAGAGCGCTTTTTAGGTGTGTGCAAGCATATGCGCGACTGAGCATTTTGGGGTGAGAATGATAGTAACACATTTTTATGAGATGTTATCTTTAGGAGACTATGTAATTTAGACAGTATGTGTTATATCACATACATGCGAGTAGTTGTGGTTTAAAATAAATATAAATTCATACCTTTTAGCTTTTTTTTACCCAAAAATGAAAATTAGCTGAAAATGTACTCACCCGAATACCATCCAAGATGTAGTTTGTTTCTTCATTATAACAAATTGACAAATATAGAATTACAGCACTTGCTCACCAATGGATCCTCTGCTGTGAATGGGTGCCGTCAGAATGAGAGTCCAAACTGATAAAAACTTCACTGTAATCCACAAGTAATCCTCACTAATCCATTCCATCAATTAACGATTTGTGAAGCAAAAAGATACTTGTTTGTAAGAAACAAATCCATCATTAAGGCATTTTTAACTTTAAAACCATTGCTAAAGTACAAGTCATTTATCTATAATACTGTTTTGACCAGTGAGAAATCCTAATCAGGACAGAAATATGCACAGATCAAGCGCTGTTCATGAGTGAAAAAAGTCTAAAAAAACATGTCAGTGGATCTTGATGTGAGAGGACAACAGGGGATAGACTTGTTCACTGAAGGAAGTGTTGTAATATGGATTCTGGACTTTTGTTACAAATACAAGTTTACTAGTGGCAGAGGTAAAACGCCTTGATGGATTTTTTCATGTAGATTACTTGTGAATTATCGTGATGTTTTTATAAACTGTTTGGACTCATTCTGACGGCACCCATTCACTGCAGAAGATCCATTGGTGAGCAAGTGATGTAATTTCTCCAAATTTGTTCATGCGAAGAAACAAATTCAACTACATCGTGGATGGCCTGAGGATGAGTACAAATTTGAGTGGACTAATTCTTTAACCGTGGTGGACTTTTTTTTTTTTTTTAACCAAGCATATTTCATGTAGTCTTGTCGTAATCATTATGGGGTCATACAATTGCATGTCTATAATTACACAAAATAGAAGGGTTGTAGTGCATTAACAGCATGTCAACAACATGTGTATTACATTCTGAAATAAGATTAATATTTTCTTCAACTTTAATGAAAATGTTTGCGACAATCTAAAAGTGCGGTGGCATATGACTCATTCAACATGACAACATTAGGTTCATATTAGGCTACGCCAACTAAAGTCCTTTTTAAAGTCATTTTAGGTTACCAGCTGCACAGTTTCTACTTTTTATAAATTTTGGTTTTATAAAAATGCATCAAACAACTTATATCCTCAGTTTTAAGAATGTTCAACGCCACCTTTTCGAACAGCAAACTTGTGCTGTAAAGGCGCAGGTTTCTGCAGAAGTTTTATATTACTGTGCTGCATCCTGAGTTAGTGTATGTGTGTGTATATGTGAGAGAGAGTGTGGGGTATGTGGGAATGTGTGGGTGTTTATATATATATGTATACATATATATATGTGAATACAATGTCAAACGTGGGCATGTTTGCTTTTGTTTCACACGACTTTTGCGTTTGCTTGCGTTTCAGCGAGCTCAGAAGTATAAGCTTACACAACCTTGCAAGCGTCCATTTGATTGTCACAAGCGAGGTCTTCGCGAATATAAAGACAGAAAGTGTTAACCATGCTTTTTTTTCATATTTTAAGCTTTACAGGAGAGGATGTGGTGTGCATGTATGAGTGTGTGTGTGTGTGTGTGTGGACAGGGAGAGCTATAAACTAGGCCGCATACCAAGAGAGAGTTGCCACAGGATGTGTTTATCTAAAATTGGGCCCCTCGGCTGCGCACTACCAAAGCTTAGATGTCACTTTATTTTTGACCATAAATAAATTTTAATCTTGCCCCTTTAACAGTTAATAGAAAATAAACATTTGGTTGCTTTATTTTAACAGAACTGGATATTTACCAGCAAGAATTTCAGAATAGGATTCTTTAACGAGCAGTCATTTTTATTATTATTTTTTTTTATGCATTTAGCAGATGCTTTTATCCAAAACGACTTAGTGCATTCAGGCTATACATTTTTTTACCAGTATGTAAATTTCTCGGAAAACTTCTTAAGCGCGTATTTTTAACTAGTCTCCCCAAGTCAGACATCACAATGTCAGACCTCATATTTTGTGTCCCTCAATCCTCATTTATTCAGTTTATAACATTAATGTACATTTTGATGTACATTGTTTAACTGTGTAAGGATATTAGCAACTGGAATCTTGTATAATTGGGTCCACATTTAAAATCTGTTGTATTTCAATTAGGAACTTCATAGAAATGTTATGACATTTTAAACAAAGAATGTATTATGTGAATATTAAATACTTATAAAATGTACAAAAGCCCTAAAGGCCATACATTATTCTTTATAATTTCTACTTTAGACTTTTTTTTTTTTTGTAAGAAAATTGTGCAACATTTTTCTTACCAGCTGCAAACCATTTAAATCAGCATCTGCATATCATGCACACATCTACATTGGCTGAAAATGACCACATGTTTAGATATGTATTCAATGATAAAGATGTGGTCTCCTTCTCAAGTCATTTGAAAGTGGTACAAAGGAAAATTAACTTTGTATAAAAAATGCATTTGTATAAAAGTGAAATTTCCTTGCATCCAGTGAAACACACAAGATGCTCAACATGCTCATGCAGCTCAAAAGCTGCTGTCATTAAAACAAAGTAAAAAATATTATTATTATTAAATATCGTAATAAATCAGTTTTACTAGTGCTTTTAGACTTTGGTTTATATTTTTATAATCACAAATGTTTTTAGGTGCACTTTTCTGTTTTCTATAATAAACAAGCTAAATTATTTTGGTCCCACATTGACGTGACGTGACGTGACGTGACATGTGGCCAAGTATACTCGGAATTAGTGCTCTGCATTTAACCCATCCAAAGTGCACACACACAGCAGTGAACACACACACAAACCGTGAACACACACCCGGAGCAGTGGGCAGCCATATATGCTGCGGCGCCCGGGGAGCAGTTGGGGTTCGGTGCCTTGCTCAAGGGCACCTCAGTCGTGGTATTGAAGGTGGGAGAGAGCGCTGTACATTCACTTCCCCCCCCTACAATCCCTGCCGGTACGAGACTCGAACCCACAACCTTTGGGTTATGAGTCCGACTCTCTAACCATTAGGCCACGACTTCCCCTGTCTGACATTAACTGACATTAACAACAAGCAATACATTTGTTACAGTATTTATTCATCTTTGTTAATGTTAGTTAATAATACAACTGTTCATTGGTTCGTTACATATAAATAGATACAACTTTTGATTTAATAATGTATTAGTAAACTAACATTTAGATTAACAAATGCATTAGAGGTATTTTTCATTGTTAGTTCATGTTAGCTAATGTAATTAACTTATTTTAACAAATGGAACCGTATTGTAAAGAGCTTTTTTGATTAATTTTTAGATAATACTATAAGTCTCTTTTCACCTTCACACTTGGTTAACTGGTGTTGTAGCGAATGGAACAATTGTCACCAGCAGCGCATTAGACAACACTTAGACAAATTTAAACACATTTGAGCAGATATGAGGGGCCAAAGAGCTGACCAGCATCACGCCAAAAATATCCCTGCATTCTTGTGAAGCGCAGCTCCACTTTTGGCCTGAAGCTCGGTGACCAAGATGTGTTTAGTTTTAGTCTAAAGGTCACTACTTATGTTACAGGTTCATTGCGAGAGATACCATTTATGGTTATTTGAGAGCTTATTGTTATAACGGAAATAAACAGCTTATTTAAAAAGCATGTATATCTTTGACTTAATTTAGGTAAGTGCTAAAAAGAATTGAAAAATATATCTGTGAATTCACAACTCTTCAAAAAAAAAAGGATAATTAAAGGAATAGTTCACCAGAAAATTCAAATGTGCTCACCCTCAGGCCATCCAAGATGTAGATGATGTATTTCTTCATATAAACAGATTTGGAGAAATGTATAGCATTACATGCTCACCAATGCATACTCTGTAGTGAATGGGTGCCGTCAGAATGAGAGTCCAAACAACTGATAAAAACGCCAAAATAATCCACAAGTAATCCAAATGACTACGTTTTGTGAAGTGAAAAGATGCATTTAAGAAACTTTTAACATCTATCCATATATTGCCAATTAAAGTCATCTGAATCAGGAGAGAAATATGTACAGATCAAGCAAAGTTTACAAGCGAAAACCATCCAGAACAACAAATATGTTGGCAAATTTTGATGTGAGAGGACAACAGAGAATGGACTTTTTCACTGGAGTTTTCTTTTTTGGATGAACTATTCCTTTAAATGGACTCTGAACATTATACGTAAATGGAGCAATAGAGCCACATTTGGCTGTTCAAACCTCTTTGTCTGTGGTTTTATTCTGAAATGAAACTGCATTAGAAAGATCCAGTGATAACAGAGAATATGTCTATTTATAGTCCACCAGTTTTTCCACTTACTGTTCTCTCATCATCCGTTGGCAGGTTCTGGGGAAATGGCGCTGAGGTGTAAGTTCTGTGGCCGAGGTGGACGGGACAGGCGATCTCTGCGCTCACTCAGGAGGGGTGTTGGAGAAGAGAAACCTTACCAGTGCAAACAGTGTAGCAAGAGGTTCAGCCTTAAACACCAGCTGGACACACATCACCGGGTCCACACAGGTACAACCAACCTTTATACCCATGAGCCACAACTAACCTTTATACCCATGAGCTACAACCAATTTTTATACCCATGAGCCACCTTCCCCCAGTGTTTAAATCCAGCCTGGAAATTTCTAGCGATCATGAAGACCTGGTTCAGGTGTGTTTAATTAGGGCTGGAGCTGAACTCTGCTGAAAGGTGGCGCTATAGAAGCAGGATCAGACACCACTCATTTAGATAAAGATTTCACTTTCTAAGAAACTGTACAGTGTATTTCACTGCATCAAGATTAGATCTGTAATCTCAATTCATCTGAATTTTGTCATTTTATTAGTAATTGTTTTTTTAAATGTTTACATAGTTTTTATTACATTTTATTTAAGATTTATATATTTTCGTACATTAAGTTGATAATAAAGTAAATAAATATGAGAAATGTTGCTTTGGCAACTAGCTGAAAAAAAAAGTTATTTACAAAATATATATATATAATTTTTATAGTTTTAGTTTTAAATAAGTCCATCACACACGGCTTTGTCTATTTTTTTTTTATGTGATCTCCATGAATTATACTGTATGCATTATCAACTGTATTGATTACTGTACTTATGCCGACAGCCTTCTCTGAAAAAATGCTTTATTTTTTAAAGATTAAGTTTTTTTAACTCTTATATTTTTTTAAAATATTTTATATAGCTTTATTTGATATGTAATTTAATTATAAAATTATTAATTGTATTCTTATTTTTTAAAATATCATTCCAGTTTTAGTCATAGTACTTTAGCTAGTTAATTGCCAAGGAAACATTTCTATTTTTTTGTTTTTGTTTTTAAGTTTAATATTTATATTTTATATATTTTTATTTATTTGTCTATCTATCTATCAGCTGTATAGATTATTGTACTTGTACTTCTAAGCTTTTTTTTAAGCTTAATATTTATATTTTTTAAAATTTTTATTTAATATTTTATTATATTTACTTTATATTTTATATATCT